TGAAAGAAGCCCTCTGGGGGGTGTGATCCGGCCCCCGGGCCATATGTTTGAGGCCCCTGCTCTAGGTGACCCTGAGCCAGGTACTCTCGGCCTAATCTACCTCACAGGGCTGTTGTGAGGATAACGTGAAGGAGGCAAGAATGCTATTATAAGATGCTCCTGGGGCCCTGTGGGGTCTCGGCCTAATCTACACAGAGATAGATAGATAGATAGATAGATAGATAAAGTTTTACATCCAGAAAGGTTTACCACTGAAGTGTGAAAGAACAGGGATTATTCAGTGAGGGCACCTCATCCTTGATTTCTGCATAAGTCTCTGTTTTGATTAGAGGAGGGGGCATGCTTGGTGCAGTATTTTGTGCAGAGCCACAACAGGCACACCCTTCTGAAAGCACCTAATTATGGTCCCATTTCTGCAGTTCTGTAATTATACCACCATTGTGTGGTTTTATTGAGTTGCTTATGTATTGAACTGTAATTCCGAGCACCTTATCTGTGGGCTTAGCAGGGGGGTAGGAATCTCTTGAACTATCTAAAAGAAGCCCTGCTTGATCAGAAGGCCCATGAAGCCCATCATCTCATTTCCCGCAGTAGCTGACCAGGTGCCTCGGGGGGCAGACAGAAGGCAGCAGCCCTCCTGCCACCCCTCTGCTGTCCCCTCAGGAACTGGTATTCAGGCACCCTGATGTTTTGGCTGATGCCTGTTGATAGATTTACCCTCAGATAGTCACATTGCAGTCGATCAGCAGGTGGGGCAGAATTGGCCGTCCCTTGTGGAGGGTGATTAGAAGAAGGAGCAGTAAAGCTTACAGAGATGCAGCAGGAACGGGGGAGGCAAACTGGGCGAAAGACTTTTCAAGACTGGGTTTTACTTATTCAAAATGCTGTCTAGAAATGTGTTGTATGAAGCCTTTTTTAAAATGTAGGACAGTCAACAGCAGAACTTCCTGTGTATTCTGTAGGTATCTCCCAGTGCAATCCTAAACAGATCCACGTGGGCAGCTGTGTTAGTCTGAAGCAGTAGAACAAATTTTGAGTCCAGTGGCACGTTTTAGACCAATAGAAGTTTATCCAAGGTATGAAGTTTTGTGTCCGTGCACACGTCCTCAGGAGGAAGTGTGCGTACACACAGAAGCTCATACCTTGAATATACTTCCATGTGGGCAGCTGTGTTGGTCTGAAGCAGTAGAACACATTTTGAGTCCAGTGGCACGTTTTAGACCAATAGAAGTTTATCCAAGGTATGAAGTTTTGTGTCCGTGCACACGTCCTCAGGAGGAAGTGTGCGTACACACAGAAGCTCATACCTTGAATAAACCTCTTGGTGGTCTAAAACCTCCCACTGGACTCAAAATTTGTTCTAATCCTAAACAGAGTTGCACCCTTCTAAGCCCATGAATGTCAATCAACTTATGATCATAGATGCATTTAAGCACCTAGGAAGGAGCAGACAGGATTTTCTTTGCTTGAGGTTCATTGCTTGTCTTCAGTGGACTTTCAGTTAGTTGGACGGAGTGACTAGAATCAAAGTACCCTGTATCTGCTCTCATCTTGACCCTGGCCCCTTGTGATCAGTCAGCCTTTCCCCCTCTTCTCAAAAGACTGAATGACAGATAACCTGGCTACAAAAAACCCATCAGTTTCTTGCCCTGCTTTCCTGGAGGATGGGAAAGCGGAGGGGGGTGGTGTCACAAAAGGTCTGTAACACCTTTGAGAAGAAAACCTCATACTGTAAAAGCTACAATCTGTGTGCTTCAGGTAGCCTAGGGTACAGTCGGGATGTAGTGGTTAGGATCTGGGAGAATGAGTCTGCTATGGAAGTCCACTGGGGACCTTGGGCCACTCACTCTCAGCCTAACCTACCTCACAGGGTGGTTGTTGTGAGCGGAAAAAATGGAAGAGAATTATATTGTAAGCTGCTTTGGGACCTTGTTGGGGAAAGGAGTTGGGGTGTAACTATCTAAATACAACGAAATAGCTCTCTTGCTTTCTACCACAGGGTATATTTACAGTTTTGTTTGAACAAAATTAAGGCATTTATACTTTTAAATTTCATCACTATACCAAGTAAGACAGTTTTCTGTGCTTCATATGAACAAATCAGTTAATGGTTTTAAAAGTCCTTAGCAAAGTATAGGTTATTCAGATTGTCTCAAATTTTCTATTTTTTTTCCGGGGGGGGGAAAGCACAGATTCCCCCCCCCCCCGAAAGTTTACATTTCCAGGTGTAGTAAGCCTCCGCTTCTGTGGATGTTGTATTGGGGTCACCATAAGCTATTTCTTGCAGCATGCAGCTTGGGGAATAGCTGGTTTAACTATTTTGTTCCAAGTACCTTTGAAAATAACTTCCATTGGTTTGGTAATCATTCTCAGGGCTCTTTTTGTAGCAGGAACTCCTTTGCATATTAGGTGCCACACCCCTAATGTAGCCAATCCTCCAAGAGCTTACAGAGCTCTTATTACAGGGGCTACTGTAAGCTCTTGGAGGATCGGCTAACAGGCCAAGTCCGAAGATGGTCTTGCGTCAGGTCCCTTCCGTGATCCTCACGGTTACCTCTTGGCTCTGCCTCACATCACGCAGTTCCACCCTTGAGCAGTGAGGCCCTACCCGTTTCTTCTCAGGATCCTTTCCCCTGAACCTCTGAGGACCTTGCTATCTTAGGCGTGAGCCTCCCCTGCACCCAGCCTTGCAGTCTGAAATGGTACCACCAAGAACAGGGTTACCAAATCCAGTGAAATCTAGGCCTTAAACTCAGTAGCGTGTGTCCCACAAGCAGCAGTGTCAGATTCCAAGAATGACATCACAACAATGAAGGGCATGAGGGCGGAACATTCACATTCCAAATTTATGGTGGTGGTCTTGCCTCTAATATACATAAGAAAAAAAGGAAATGTTTTTTCCCCCCCCCCCCCCCCCCCGTTTGTAAAAATTAAAAAAATATATATATGAAAAAGAAGAAGAGCCCTGCTGGATCAGACCAGTGGTCCAGCATCCTGTGTCACTCTCACGCCAGTCACCACCTGGGTTGGGAGATTCCTGGAGATTTTGGGGGTGGAGCCTGGAGAGGGCGGGGTTTCACTGTATCGAAGTTGGCTGCCCTTACAAATGAGTAAAATATGACTAGGATCAAGCCACACAGGAAGGCTTTCTTATCTGGGCTTCTGTAATAGGTAAGGTTCAGCATCATCACACAGAAACAGGAAACAAAATCCCTTGTACTTTAGGTCAGCTGTTACAGATTAGTGAGTGAGAGAATAAGCTGTTATCCGAGAACTCTGTTTCTTGTTGCGGTTCGTTCCGTGGACTTAGGCAAGCCACTGTCTCTCAATTCCGGGCCAGAATGTTTTTATTCACCCCGGGCTTTTAGCTGAATTTTTATCCCCTTCCTTGTTCTCTCTCCCCCACCCTTTTCTCATATGTTCTTGCTTTTATGCTGATTTATATTGATTGTTACATATAAAAGTTTAAACTATTATTCATTCATTTTTGTTCAACCATGTCAAACAGTCTTTTGAAGAGGCCAGGATAGGTAAATTTGAAAACTGTGTTTCATTATTTTGTCTGATATCCTGCTTCCCCTCCAGCGAGGTCCTAAGCAACTTATCCCATCATTTTCCCTTCCTCCACCCTGGTCCTCACAACCACAACCCTCTGAGGTAGGTTAGGCTGAGAGATTGTGATGGGCCTGTGGTCACTTACCAACCTTGCATGGCAGAGCAGGATTCAAACCCAGCTGTCCCAGGTCCTAGTCTGCCACTCGCACAACTGTGCCGTACTGGCTTCAAAAATAGTTTCAGGTTATATTTTCTTAAAAGTGTTTTTCTTTCCATTTATCCCAGTATTCCCATATGCAGAAACCCAATCAACTCCCTTTCTCTACAGTTTCCTCTAGAGATGTATCCTCAGTCTGACCCTGCCAGAGCTCAGTCCATGGGAATCTGCTCATGTCCTGGAGTGCCATTAGCCTATCACTGAAGTTCTGAGGACTAGCAACCCATTTTGTGAGCAATGAAAGTGAATGAGCTTAGTGTCCGTCTGTTTCATTGGGTGACCCTTCAGTTTTCAGTGTTTTGAGTGAGGGGGAGAAAATTCTTTGCATCATTCATAAGACCTCTATCAAACTTTTAACATTTTATTTTTTAATTTAAGTCTGGCCCGCCTTTCTCATCGAGAAGGCAGATCACACGGTGTAAAACGATGAAGTCAGACAGTGCGAGAGATCTGATAGGCAACTCAGTGTACAACTAGGATTTCGAGAGCCAGTTTGGTGTAGTGGTTAAGTGTGCGGACTCTAATCTGGGAGAACCGGGTTTGACTCCCCACTCCTCCACCTGCACCTGCTGATGTGACCTTGGGTCAGTCACAAGCTCTGGCACAGCTGTCCTTGAAAAATAGCAGTTTGTGTCAGAGTTCTCTCAGCCCCACCCACCTCACAGGGTGTCTGTTGAGCCGCTCTGAGACTCCGAGTGAAGGGCGGGGTATAAATCCAATCTCTTCTTCTTCAAAAACTAGAAACAATGCAAAAAAAAGTGTCAGGCTTGGTACATCATATAATGCAGGAAGTGGGATTAACAAAAGTAGGAAACAGTGCAGTAAGAGCAGGATTATGATACAGTACACAAGTGATACATACCGCACACAGTGATGTAGGCTACAGTCCTGTTTTCCTTTGTAAAAATGCTTTTCTGAACCATTCCATTACATTATCAATCCCACTTCAGTCATCCCCCCCCCTTTTAAAGGCCCCAAACTCTCCAGCCTTCCCTGTTTGGAAACTTTCCCTCAAACTCTTAATCATGGAAGTGAAATGAGGATCTGAATTTTTGTGTTAATGAGTATGACTACAGAATGTTGATTCCCCAACTGATTGTCATGAAATGGTGATTTTCTGTGTGGGGTGGTGGGGCTGACAGAAACACTGCAGATGCCCTGGCCTTGGATTTGAGGGCCACCTCTCGAAATCCACAATTGTCTAACACTGTCCTCTTCCTCCTTTTAGCACATGGTTATGAGCTTTAGAGTGTCGGAGCTGCAGGTGCTTCTGGGTTTTGCGGGCAGAAACAAGAGCGGGCGGAAGCATGAGTTGCTCACCAAGGCCTTGCAGCTGCTGAAGTCCGGCTGCAGTCCAGCCGTTCAGATGAAAATCAAGGAGTTGTACCGGCGACGGTTCCCCCGGAAGATCTTGACCCCTTCTGACTTATCCATGCTCCACCTCCAGACAGGACAGCTGCCCTCAGCCACGGCTCTGACTCAGGGCGCCATGTGCCACTTGCCCTACAATAATGGATCGGTGACTTCCACTGTGCCGGCTGGTATATTGCCCCCGGTGCCTATGTTGGGACCCAAACACGAGACGGATGTTCCGCACTTGTCGCCCCCCATCCATCCGGTCCATCCTGATGTCAAAATGAGGCGGTTACCCTTCTATGATGTCTACGATGAACTCATCAAACCTACCACGTTAGGTATGTCTGTTAAACTCGTCGAAAAATCCATTCTCCCTTGCTGGCTTGTTCTTCCCTGCTGCCTATAGGTGGAAGTCTTGGCTTGATAGAGTCAGAAAGGAAGAGCTCTGTGTGACTCAGAAGTTTATTAGTCTCAGGAAAACATATTGGCTGGAACTGTTGGGAGGAGAATCAGTCAGTAATGCGGGACCAGAGAGTAGCAGCATTCTTTCAGATTTCAGAGGGGTAGGGAGACATTTCACGGGAGGAGATGAGGCCTGTAGCAAGGCTCTTGGAGATATTTGTTTTTTGGAGGGTGTGAAGGAATGCACTTGTGAGCCCTTGTTCTTTTGTGTTCCCGGGAAGTTGGAAAACCCTGCTCTTGGCAACACCACCTGTTTCCTTCTTTCTGTGGGGGGGTGTACAAAAAACAAACTGAGTAGTAACTACTGCCGCCAGAGTATCTCCTGCCTGATGGATTTACACATCCAGCACTCTACCTGTGTTGTCATTTAGAGTCTCCACCTAGTTGTGTCATCTCTTCCTTCACTCCTGCAAGCAAGTGCAGGGACAATTGATAGCAGTTTTGCAATTTTGAGCTGTCACGCTCAACGGTTGGCGTGTTTACTGGCTGCCGCTTCCCATTACCACACTTCAGATAGCAAGATTGCGTAGGTGTGGTGTGTTTACAGAGATACAGCAGAGCATTCAGGACATATGAAAGTTTAAGAAACAAAAATAGAACAACTATACACGGTCTATTCAAGCATGAGGCTGAGCAAGGATACAAAGAAAAAGGTGAAACCCTGCAGTCCTTTCACCCTGCATTTAGTGCTTAATCAGGGGAGACAAGTATTTCTTGAAGTTGCAGTAGTTTAAAGTTCAGCATTAACTTGATTCTCAAAGTTGGAACTTCTCCCCATTGTCCCTTGCCTTAATGGGCAAAATGGAGTCCCTAGGTAAAGACGTAGTCCAACATGGCTTCTCCCGCCTTGGTCAGGAGCCATAAGACCAGAGAGAGTTTTCTTTCCCATGTCCTGATAATTTATAATCTGCCCTTGGAGAATCTTTGTGGAGGTTTCCATACTGATCTTCCTCCCTGGAGAGGAATAGGTTACTTTAAGGGAAACAATGAAGTCTGGAATAGATATCAATACTTTTCCTAGGTATTGTTCAGTGTTTCGGACCATTACCATACTTCAGATAGCAAGATTGTGTAGGTGTGGTGTGTTTACAGAGATACAGCAGAGCATTCAGGACATAAGAAAGTTTAAGAAACAAAAATAGAACAACAATACACGGTCTATTCAAGCATGAGGCTGAGCAAGGATACAAAGAAAAAGGTGAAACCCTGTAGTCCTTTCACCCTGCATTTAGTGCTTAGCCTTAACAATGTTTAATCAGGGCAGACTAGTATTTCTTGAAGTTGCAGTAGTTTAAAGTTCAGCATTGATTCTCAGAGTTGGAACTTCTCCCCATTGTCCCTTGCCTTAATGGGCAAAATGGAGTCCCTAGGTAAAGACGTAGTCCAACATGGCCTCTCCCGCCTTGGTCAGGAGCCATAAGACCAGACAGAGTTTTCTTTCCCATGTCCTGAGAATTTATAATCTGCCCTTGGAGAATCTTTGTGGAGGTTTCCATACTGATCTTCCTCCCTGGAGAGGAATAGGTTACTTTCTAGATATTTGGCTGTCTGTTCCCTGAGGTGTGACATTCTAGCAAGGTGTGAGATGGCAAACCCTTTGTTGGTCCACTATTAGCATAACTAAGAGCTTGAGTGCTTTGTGTTTTGTATAATTCCTGGTACTTGTGTTCTGTGCCAGCTACAGATTTTCAGAGGGGCTCATGTGACATGGGTACAATGTAACCCAGTGGCTGAAACATCAGGGCAAATTCAAGGGTGGAGGGCATTTCTCCACAGAGGATTTTTGACGTGCCTCTCAGATGTAACTTCCAGGATAGCTTTAAAAAGATACTGTTAAAAATACTTTTGCAATTAATAGTCTGTAAAGGGTCAATACTAGAAAAGCAAAGAAATAAAATAAATAATATAGTAGTTGGCTGAGATCACTTAATTCAGGAGGATAATTTCAAGAAAAAACAAAGGGTGTGTGTGTGTGTCACAAACTGAATTATGCCTCCTAACCAGAAATGGGAAACAGTGGAGTCCCTTTAAGTGCCTGCCTTCTCCAAGCCACATGCCTCCGCTCACCTCCCCCCCACCCTTGCCACTGCAGCCAGTTTACCCTAACGGAGGCAGGTGTACCCGTCTACTTTTAGGCTAAACTGGCTGCAAGCCTTTTCAGCGACCTGTTTCTCTCTTTGGCTCCTGAAATGGTTGCCAGCCATTTAAACCTGGCAACCCAATGGGTCCACCTGTCAGCTTTTAGGTTTAAATGGCTGGCAGCCATTTAACCCGTCAATCTCGGGGGTGCCCGGCCATTGTTAGGTTAAACCGTCTGCAAGCCTTTTCAGCGATCCCTTTCACTCTCCCCCCACTTCCAAAACCAGCCCAATAAAACAGAGGTACTACTGGTAGAGGAAAGGTCTGACCAAAACTGGGATATCTGTCCAGGGTGGGGTTGTACTCTCCCTAAAAGAGCAGGTCCCTAGCTTGGGAATGCTACTGGACCCAGACCTGCTGTTGGATAAAAAGACAGGAGTGTTGGCCAGGGGTGCCTTTCACCAGCATCAGCTAGTGGGCTAGCTGTGACTGTTCCTGGGCAGGAAGGATATTGCCATGGTGGCATATGCCCTGCTAACATCTAGATTAGATTACTGCAATATGTTCTACATTGGGGCTCCCCTTGAAGACTGTCTGAAATTTACAGTTGGTACAGAATGCTGTGTCTTATTGGTCCAGTCTTGTTCTGTACCTGAAGGACCACCTTCTCCCCTATGAACCTGCCCATCTGCTCAGACCATCTTCAGAGGCCCTGCCTTGGGTGCCCCCACCAACTGAGGCTAGACTGGTGGCAGTCTGAGATAGGCAGCCTTCTTGATTGTGGTGCCAAAACTTTGGAACTCCCTCCCCAGGGAGATTAATTGATCTCCCTGTACTGTTTTCTTCCACCAGTAAGTGAAGAATTTTTGTTTGTTTAGCCTTCCCTCTCTAACTTTTATTAACCCTCTACTCTGTGAGTTTGTGTTTATATTTTATATGTTTATGTATTTATAGTGTGTTTTATTTAATTGTTAGAATCACAAGAGTTGGAAGGGGCCATACAGGCCATCTAGCCCAACCCCCTGCTCAATGCAGGATCAGCCTAGCATCCCTGACAAATGTTTGTCCAGCTGCTGCTTAAAGACTACCAGTGAGGGGGAGCTCACCAACTCCCTAGGCAGCTGGTTCCACTGTTGCACAACTCTTACGGTAAACAAGTTTTCCGTACTATCCAGCCGGTACCTTCCCACCCTTAATTTAAACCCATTATTGCGAGTCCTATATGTTGTAAGTATATATGTTTATATTTTAATTTTTTTAAATGTTTGAAATGTTTTAATGTTCACAGAACTGGGGACCCTGAATTGACTGGAAAGGTGGTTTAGAAATGTTTTTTTAAAATAAAAGTGCAGATTCTCACAGCCTGGACCTCTAGATGATTTGTACAGGTGTTATGCACTGTATTTGCAAGCCCACTTCCCAACCATTCTTTCTAATCACAGCCCCTGTTTTGTCAGTTTGGATGAGAGTGGGGGAAGCTTCCTTAACCCAGGCTCAGCATAATGTCTGAACTGAACCATTGTTTCATTGGTGGTGGTTCTTGGAGGCCTCGTGTGATGGATTGCTCAGAAAAGCAGGCTTTTTAAAAGGCTCGTGTCGGAGAGTCAGGGAGTTCAAGAGTTAATCTTCCCTGGAGAGAAGAGCTTATGTGATTGGCTGCTATACTCGCCCTCTGATTGGCCAACATCAACTGAGAGAGAAAATAAAACAGTTGATCTGGAAGGAAAAGATTCATTCACCTTTTGGTCTTTGTGTAAAATCTAATGTCTGGATCAGTAGCCAAAGGGTTTGGCTTCTGAGGGAAGAGATTTTGGGAGTCAGCGATGTCTGTCAGGGAATTGTCAGAAAAGTGCTTCTATCAAGAAAAGAATAAGGACCCCATTGTCTTAAATACATTAGAACTACTCTGAGGGAAAACTCAGATTCTCAGTCAAGAAAGCTACAGAACAGCTTTATACAGACAATGGATACAGGAGAAGAACTTGGCAGAAGGTCTGGATAGTTAGAGAGAACTCCTAGACAAGCCAAATAGTAAAAGGAGTTATTATTTATTAGGGACAAGAAGAATAACTTCCTGCCTGTGAAAGGAGTTGGGAAGAGAACCCTGGTCTGTGATAAATAGAGATGTGAAGGCCCGGAAAAAAAACGGAAAAATTCGGGGGAAAACCGGTTTTTTTCCTGAAGCCTTTTTTGTTTTTTTCCGAAAAATTGGAAAAAAGAAAAGAAAAAATTGATTATGGAACGTTTTATTTTAACATGATGAATAAAATATTTTAAGACAAGGTATTCAAATATTTTCCAAATCATTCCTAATATATATATATATAATGGTATCAGATTGATCTAATTTCTGTGCACTGACAAGCAAGTCCTAGGTTACAAACTGAACCCTCCAATGCAAGAACAAGATGCATTTCTTCCTTTAGGAGGTGCGATTGTCAGAAGAAAATAAAGTTTCAGTTTTGTTTTTGCATGTGGGTGGGTATTCTGTTTGAAATAATTGTTTGGATACACTATATTTTTAATATGCTAGTTGTGATACTTTCAT